TTTCTTTCTTTCTCAATCTTTCTCTCTCCATCTCTCTATCTTTGATTTTTCATGGCTTACATTATATTGTATATATTTTCATATCCTTGCTTTTTAAAACTTAGTAATATAAATATTTCTCCAAATTATTTTCATTTGGCAGCAATTTTAATGACTGCACAATTTTCTGTCTTTTGATTGTGCCATAAAAAAATCTGTAATTCTGAAATATTTAGACTTGTTTGCAGTTGGTCCATATGCTTTGTAATGCTGGGACAAACTTCCCTGCTGGTTAATCACTTCTAAAAAAAAATTTTTTTTTGTATCTATGCAATTCTAACCAAAGATACAAAGTTGACATGTTCATAGGATGCATGTTGTAGGATTTGAGGGTTTTGGTATGAGGCAATGTACTTTCTACATAGAATAAGATGCAAAACTAAAAAAAAAACAATTGTAAAGTCACCACTCTTGACACCAGAAGAAAATGCCCACTTTATCAGGACTGCGATTCTCCCCAAGATACTATAAGTAACCGAGCTCTTATAATTTGCCGATATGGAATCCTTGCTGGCCATTAATACCAGGCAGATGATTAAGCAAATTACCATATTAGCATTCCAGCCTCTTGCTGGCAGTGGTCAGTAAGACTTAGTGCTAGGTCAGCTCTGGATGGAAAGGAGAAGGTTTGTTATATCCATGCCAGCTAGATTCCATTATAATAATCAAAGACTCCCCCACCACCTCCTGGCCAAAAAGTTTCATCTAAAGTCTAAATGCTTCTTACAGTAAATACTTTGCCAAAAGGAGATTTGGAATAGTGATATCTTATGTGTATCTTAAACTCCCTAGCTAAGTATATTGAATTTGTCTTGGCTGGCAAGAAAAGCTACTTTAGAAAATTAACAAAAAAATTGAAATTGATCACTGGCGATTTCATCATGAAGATCGCTTAAGAGGTCCAAGCTATTCTTCTGCTCCCTTGCTTGCATCAGCTCTTTGAAGTCATAGAGCCCTGAGCTTCAAGAACCTCAAGAGAGCATGTGGCCCAGTCTCCTCTTTGTAGCAAGTAAAATATAGTTATCCGTTCCCTTGCCTTTTTTTTTTTTTTTTACTGATAAGGCCCAAAGAAATTAAGAGACTTGTCCAATGTCACACAAGTAGTTAGTGAGAGAGGGGGACTAGACCCAGATGTCCTGTCATATTACTTCTTTGCTTCAAAATAGTTTGTAGTGTGGAATTAAACCTACTCAGTGCAGATTGAAACCTTAATTATCTCGGAGGTTTCACTTTACACTCTGTACCCTTATGGCAGCCACAATCGGCTGAACTGCTTCTTCTGAAAGGTCCCAGATTTGAAATCTGAGAACCATATGAGAGCTAGTGAAGGAAGATGGATTTTTTCCTTCACTTTGAACTTCTTCATTTTCTCTGTTAAACTATGAGTCTTTATTTACAAACCTTGAAGTAATGGTAAAAGCATGATGGAAATATGGTGATAATTATCTTCCAACATGAAACAGGCTGGCTGATTTCCTCTGCATTTTCCACTTTTTAAGATGCATTTACCCTTTTGCTTTCAGAGACTATAAATACTATACTTAGTTTATATGTTTGTTTAGTGTTTATTGAGATTGGTAGTGATGTTATTTTTCTGGACAATACTAGTCCAAACTCCTTATTTTGCACATGGGCAAACTGTGCTTAAGAGGTGTTAAGTGGCTTGATAAAACCACAGAGCCACAGCCCGCATTTTCTACCCTGCCCTGTTTTCACTCACCAAGTCACACACAAAGAGAGTTAATAAAACGCTTTCTGTAACCGCAGTTCATATGACTCCACTTAGCTTAATGCAAAATTTTTCTTTTGATTTCATGGTTGTTTTGATTTAACATCAAATGTGTAAGCTTTCCGAGGAAATGGTACAAACCTAACAAGTGTTTTCAAACACCTTCCCCCCTCCAGTACAAAAGAACATAGAAAATGTGGAAATTAGAGGCAAGTAGACAAAATGAAATAAAAATCACTCTAGATTATATAGAAATAACCAACTACTGCTAACTTTTAGGTTTATAAACATCCAATCTTTTAATAATCTTGCTTATTCATATTAAATTTATATTAATATGTACTACATTTTAAATACTTAAGCCCCCAATGCATTTTTTAAAAAGAGATATTGTAAAAGAAAAGTCCACTTTGAAGGTTTTCAGGGAATGATTTCTATAACCCCAAAACCAAAGAGGAAATATCCACCTACCATTGTTTAAGATCAGATATTAGGAAAAGAATGAGTTAAGGATCTTAGATTGCAGTTATGAATACCCAAGTATGACACTTTTCAACCCAACGGAAGTTAGACTTTCTAAATAATTTTTTTCCTAATTGTGGGCAATTTAAAAAAGTTAGAAGAAAAAAAATTCAGTTTTATCCCTGAAAGCCAACCATTGCTACCACTTGTATACATGTTTATTTTTTTCAATATTTTTAGCTAACTTGTGGTCATGCTGTGTATACAAATGTACATCTTTTTTTTT